TGGTGATCTCAATCAAGAAGCCGAATCACCTGAACAATAAGGGATGCAACTTATTGATACAGTTGTTCTCACAGATCCGAATAGAAGTCCATTCGGATCCCCTCAAAACTTTGTGCAGATGAATGATCAAGATGATGGCATATTTTCATCCTTATTTGCCAAAGTGGCCGAATCCAGTGATGTTGTTTGTCAAACAATTGGAGAAAAATTGGTTGAACAAAACCAAAAGCTAGATCAACAACACACGGATACACGAGTCAATCTGAAGGAATTAATGGAGCATCAAAATATTTTGAAGACCCAGATTGACAAAGTAGAAAGAATTTTGAAAGGAGAATTGACAAAAGGCTTACTTGAAGTGATTCAACTCATGAAGAAGGAACGAGAAGCAGCTGAAAAGATTAACAACGAACGTCACTTGAGACAGATCAAAGCAATTCAAGACCAAGAAAGCCGAACCAACAAACTTGGCATTATCAAAAGGGGGGAAATTGTTAGGAATAAAGTGTAATGGTTTTGATATGCCAAAAATGTATTTGTAGATCCCCCAATTTTATTTGTTAGGTCTAGTAGAGTCTTAAACCATGATCGGGAATTTATTTAAATTTGAAAAGAGAAAAAACAGAGGAAGATGGATGAAAATAGAAGAAGAAGATATAAAGCCTTAAATCAAGAATTTGTCTGGAGAAAATGACAAATTGAAGAAGAAGATGAATGATACAATATTCACGTCAATGCTACTACTCAAAGAAGATATCCCAGAAGAATTTTCGTGAAGAAAAATTAATATTGGAAGAATGCATGAAATTGACTTGGAGATCAAACATCTAAGAAAAGAAAGGAGTACATCAAAGAAGATTGGAAATTTAATCAATAGTTGTCCGGACGAAGTAGATGATGCTTGATATATTATGTGAAATGGCTCAGGTTCGAAGCTCACCTTCAACAATTTTACAAGGTAAAATTTGAGAAGCCAAATTAAATTAATCTGATGGAGTTGCAATTGCACTTTGGAGCCAATTCAGAGCCGATTTCATCATAGCAATTGGGAGCTACCAATGGGAATCAAAGTCAAAGTCAAAGCAATTGAAAGCACCAGGAGTAGATTAGGAGCCATTCAAATTGGGAAGCAATTGAAAGCACCAGGAGTAGATTAATTGGGAAGCAATTGAAAGCACCGGGAGCAGGAGTAGATTAATTGGGAAGCAATTGAAAGCACCAGGAGTAGATTAGGAGCCATTCAAATTGGGAAGCAATTGAAAGCACCAGGAGTAGATTAATTGGGAAGCAATTGAAAGCACCAGGAGTAGATTAATTGGGAAGCAATTGAAAGCACCAGGAGCAGGAGTAGATTAATTGGGAAGCAATTGAAAGCACCAGGAGTAGATTAATTGGGAAGCAATTGAAAGCACCAGGAGCAGGAGTAGATTAATTGGGAAGCAATTGAAAGCACCAGGAGTAGATTAATTGGGAAGCAATTGAAAGCACCAGGAGTAGATTAGGAAGCAATTGAAAGCACCAGGAGTAGATTAGGAGCCAATTACAAGTCAAAGCAAAGTCAATTGGGAGCCAATTACAAAGGAGAAATTCAAATTGGGTGCCAATCTTGGGTGAGAAATTCAAATTGGGTGCCAATCTTGGGTGTCAATTACAAAGGAGAAAAGGAGAAATTCAAATTGGGTGGAAGTTCAAAGCCAATTTGAAGTCTGAGAACACCCAGACGTGAGAATGAAGAAGATGAAGATGAACTTACAGTGAAAATATTCTCACATGGAATAATACTAGTTTAACTAGTATTGGATTAAATTAATGAATATTTTTAAATCCCAAAGATACAAAGACCACTTCAGAGCTGACCAGAGAAGCCATTCTACACCAAAACAGAGACCCAGATATTCCCACTCAACGTTAAACCAGAGAAATATCAGATGAAGTTTGGGAGCTCATTTACATGGAGATGAAGATCCATCAAACGGCTAGCTTATCCTTTCTGACATCTTTGCAGAAGATAAGATAAGATCTCTGACAAAAAGATACAAGATTTCAAAAATGAGAGCGTCTCTTTTTAACGGACAGATTCTCATTACCAGCTATAAAATGATGAAGATATGAAGACCTGAAGAGAAGTAGAGAAGTGAACGAACTTGAGAAGAGCATAGAGCAGTTGAGAAAATTTGAATCCATCAAGGGGAACGAATAGAGCAATTAAGCTTGAAAGAGCATAGAACATAAATCACATTTTGGTACAGAGCATACCAAAAATCTTCAAGTGAGAAGTGAGAAAAGAAAAAGAACTCAGAGAGCTTCAAAAGAGAAATATTCTGAGAGTTCTTAAACAGAGCAAAGCAGAGCAAAAATATCAAGTGCTTTACTTGGTATATTCAAAGAGAGAAAACACTCAGAGCTATCAAGAGAAATCATTCCAGAGTGTTTATCTTCATCAAAGAGACCTGCGCATTATTGAAGATCATCTACAGAGTCTCAGAAGTTGGAAGCAAGACAACACTTGTTTTGGAGCAAAACAAGAGAAGGGAGGAAAGTAGCACGGAGCTGTGAAATCCTGGATTGTCACAAGGAGCTGTGAGATCCGAAACAGCAGTGTCGGAGGCACTGGGCGTGATTAGTGCGGGCTTTGTGATCAAAGCACTAGATCACAGAAATTCATTGTATCTTGGAACCAAGGAGTGGTAGATACAGTGAATTGCTCTTGGAGATAAGAGCAAGTGGAGTAGGAGGATTACACCACCTCGCGAACCACTATAATTGTCTTCTGTTCTTTACTACTTTCTTTACTTACTGCTCTTTACATATTCGCTCTACACGAGATATACTGCTCATACAATCTCACACACACTTTATGTTTATTTATTTCCGCTGTGCACCATACTCTAACAATCTAGTTAAGAGTTTTGGTTTATCTCTGGCTTAGCAATTGTTGTGTTGTGCGAAAAAAGTTTGAAAGTCTATTCACCCCCCCCCCCTCCCCTCTAGACTTTCACCTTACCTCTTTTGGGACCAACAAAATCAATCCCAAAAGAGGTGTCACCGCCACAATCACCACACACGGTGATTACACAGGCTAAGAAAAGTATTATCTAGAGTCAAGCTCATCAAAAGCTACACAGTATATAAACATAAGAGTTTTTAAACAACAGAGTCTAGACTAACATCTAGCAACTCTAACCTACGCACGAATGCTAAGTATAACACCTCTCAACCCTGTAAAGTACTATAGAATATAGATTTGAAAATCATTTGGCAAGTATACTTAGGTCAAATATTCTCAATCACTAAAACAACAATTCAACAAGCTCAACGATAATTCTATATGCTTGCAACCTAATTATCAAATAGGCATGCTTTCTTAAGTGCTCAACTTAACATAAATCTCATGCTTTCAAAGATATTTCTAAACATAGCTCAAACTGATAGTTAAGGAGATACTTTAACTTTAACAAGCAAACTCATGCCATAAAGTCGATCAATAAACAACAATACAGTATCATACTTCTCTTCAAGCTAAGCTTTATGATAAACATGCAAGTCATGAAAACCATGCAACAAGATAATCATGACGCCTTAAGTATAAGCATATAGATAGATATACATATACCCTCGTTCTTTTGTAACAAGGAACACTTGTTTTGTGTAGGTTTCTATTGAGTCGCAATGACTTGCTGTTCTCTTCTTTCACTTGAGTCTCTTGACTCGCTTTCTTTCTTTCTTTCATTCTTACTTTCTTTACTCGTGGGTGAGGTAGGAAATTCACCATAACATACACGGACTTATCTGGGCTCGGCATCTAGCCCACCTAATACTCATCTCGCCCACAGAACCACTCTCTTGGTTCTTTTCTCAAACTCTGTGGAATCAGGTATCGAACTTGTTAATGCACACCCCCTGACCGGGATTCCAAGCCCGGCGGGTAGTATCCAACCCAGTAACTCGGGAATATCGACCTCGTTACTTCATATCGGATCACAATGTCCGTTTCTTTCTCAACTTTCTGTCTTTCTCTTTTATTCCGAAAAGACATAGTCCTAACGGGCCTCCAAAACATCAAACTACTCGAAAAACTTATATAGATATAACTCATGCACTTCTTTCTCATGCAACAATCTAACTTATGAAAGCTCATGCACATATTTTCTTAACAACTTCTCTTTTCTCACAATTTGGAAATTAACAATTATGCAAACTTCTCAATGCAACTAGATAATGATTTTCCAAAATATATATAGATTTTTGAGAGAAAACTTAGGATTACTAAGAGACAATGATGCACTGTAAACCATGAAATGCTAATCATGCACTTTTACTATAAAAGTAATCTCAATTTCTCTATCCCTGTAAATCAAGGAAATAAGGTGCTACTTCGTGCTTATAAGTCATCACTTAGCAAATCTCTTATACTTAACAAGTATTGATCATGCTCTTTAAACTCAAAATATACTTCAGACTCTCGTAATTTTCTTTACTATAAACAATGAAATTCATGTACTGGACAAATCCAAATTCTCACAATCTTTGCAAAGCTTCTCAATAAATAACAATAAGTACTTAGACATGATTTTCAATCAAAATAATCAAATAATGATTATGCTTCTTTTCTCAGATAACTAAGCTCAAATACTTCAATTTTTCCTTACTGTAAACAATTTACAGAACACAACAAGAACAATTCTCAACACAACTTCTGACGTAAAACAAACATTTCAACTCTAAATTCAACGAAACTAACTTCTACTCGTGCGTCGTAACGAACCCGAGTGTTCGAGCCTCAAGGGCCCATGAGTCTCGGTCCGAATGACACGTAGCTAAGCCACAGAGGGACCAGCCAGAAACCTTTTTGGCCTGGCGGAGCTTGGTGGCGTGGCTTGGGAAGCCTCGCCCTAGCCAAGTGGCGGCCCTGGGCGACGGATTATGCTATGATCAGTCCCCTGGAGCCGTTGTTCCGCGGTGCTAGCTGGCGGACCTCCTTGAGGTCTGTTGGCTAGTACCATGAGGCTATCTGGTGCACCAGACAGTGTGCACTAGAGCCCTTCTCTTCACCTGTAGACACATCCAGTGCAATTCAAAACTCCCAAATCCTCAACAAATCCATAATAGATCAACAATAACTCTTTAATAGCTCAAGAACAACAATAATCTAACATTCTAAGCATTTAACCCTCTATCTAGCCATTCACAGAGTTAAATAAGTAGTTGGGAATCCATGGGTTATACCTTTGTTGCTTCTTCTTCCTTGTATGGATTCCTTCTTCTTCCCAACTCAATCACTACCCCCTTCACCACCTAAACACCTCAAACAAACCAAACAACAAACCTTAAGAAGAGAGCCTCAGAGATTGGGAAGCAAAAGAAGGGAAGCTAGATGAGAAATGGATGAAAATGGAGGTAAGGAAGCTTACTGTGTTTTCTCCCTTCTTTATTGCAGAGCTCTAGGATGGGGAAGACAAAGAATGGAATTAGGAGAGGAAGTTGGCTTACTATTCCTTATATATGGGTTCAAAACCCTAGAAGGATACTCAATGATTGGTGGAGGGCAAAATGGTCTTTTGGTTGATTCTCAAAGAAATATCAGACAAAGGTTTAGAAAAGATTGTGGTCCACCTTGCTTCATGGACCAAAGTCTAGAAAAGTGATTTTAAAATAGCTTGGGGTCAAAATATATTTTTTTCCAAAATGTGTTCTAGTTAAACACTTGGTTCAGGTTTATCAGATTTCTTCCGGTTTCACTCAGATTGACTTTTGGGTCAAAACTTGGTACATAATGTACCCGAGAATTTAGAATTTTAGAAATGGAATAAATCTTGGTGTTAAATTTATTTAAGAACGTGGCTTAAAATAATTAATTCAAACACCATTTTTTAAAAAAAAAAAATTGGAAGAGAGAAAAATGGCTATTTTGGAATTTCGTAAAATAGAATTTAGAAAATCAAATTTTGGGTTGTCACATCCTACCCTCCTTATAAGGAGTTTCGTCCTCGAAACTTAGAAGGAACGGACAGGTTGTCTTAGAACAGAAGCCTTCGAGAAGATGGAAAGAATTTTAAGAATTGGCTCAAGAGTTTTCTTAGAATACTTGGAAGGTTAGGAATCTCTGAGTTTCAAGCTAACATACCACAACTAGAGCACTACTCAAAACTAACAACTTAAGTAAAGTCTACTAACTGAACTTAAAGTTTAATGGTTTACCTTGGTTAAAGTCTCCGGGAGCGCCACCTTGAGGCATGTAGTTGGGATCCCATCTGTACGGGGTCCATCTCTGAACGTTCTCCACTCCCAATCTGTCTTCGAGAACTATAGCCCTTTGATCGAAGTTTGCAAATCCGTAGTTCACTTGGGCACTTAAATTGTTGAATATTTGGTTGATCATCTCATAAAGCTCCTCGTAGGTATGTCCCCTTGACCCTCCTTCATAACCTCCTTGTCGCCTTCCCTAAGGTGCTGCGATATTTGCTTCTTCAATCCCAGTACCCATCTCTTGATCAGTCCTCGTGGCGTTCCCTTCACCACCTTCCTCAGCTACATCACTGGCCTCGATGCCAACACTTGACCACTTATTTCGGGGTATATTCAAACTAACCACGAGTGCCATCCCCTCATCCATGGGCTTTTTAGCAATCTCCCCCAAGGTCAGATATATGTTGTTGGCAACATGATACAAATCATAAAATCTCAAGTTTGTTGCATTAAGGGCCGTCCTTGTAGTTCTCTTTATCATTTCTCCTTTCTCAGGTAAATTCATCTTGATAAAAATCCAACTCAGGACCATACCATATAGCAAACATTTCCTATTCCTTGTCTTTGAATAGGCTATGTGCTTAAGCATCAAAACTGGCAAATTTATCTCAATCCCAAACCTAAGTAAACTGTGGTACAAGCCCAACTACCAACTTCATTAGAATTGTTCTTGCAAGTAAATAAACAATCTTCTATTAGCAAGATTAAAATCTTCTTCTCACCATTCAAGGTGGATTTCTCGGGTCTAAACTCTTTGGGAAATTCCTCTCTTCTTCCCGTCATATACCTCAGATATTCAACATAACCCACTCTCTCATGAGAGATCCAATCATCCCTATCATAAACATCTACTCCACTCAAGGGCAAATCAAACCAATTTGACAACTTTTGCGGGGTTAACTCCACTTTAGTGCCTCTAACATTGGAAGTAATTATAGTAATTCCTTTCTTTAATTCGGTGGACAAATTATCATAAAATTCAATAATCAAATCGGGGTAAATCTCATCTTGAATTCTTAGAAATTTTCTTAGAAATCCTTGATTTTCTAACAACCGATTAGTTGCTTCAGAAAAATGTTCAGGGAAGTAAGTTTTACCTCCAATGACCGAGTAGTTTGAGCCCTCATGGCTACTCTCTCCCACTTGTTGCTTCCCTTTTGCCATTTGACTCCACAAGCTACTTGCCTTGAACTTGGTTGGAATGAAGTGAATGACCCAAGTAGTATTTTCCTTGCACTTAGAAGGAGTTGGAGAATGAAACTTTGAATTTTCTAGAAGCAAAGATGAAGGATTTTTGAAGTTGGAAATTTGGTTGAGGTGAGGCAGTGTGCAATCCGTAGAAACTGAAGAAGAAAGGAGGGTTTCAGCAACTTTAATTTGGGGAAGAACTTGAGAAAACACCAAAATGGCCTTGGCGGGGCTTGGTAACGGCACTTCACGTGATCCACCTTCACGTTTCGCCGCCTGTTCCTCTGCCATGGTTCACGGTCACGGACCGTAACGTGGTCCATTACTACGTTCTGTGCCACGGAACGGACTCCGTTCTGCTCCGTTGGCAAGCCCCGTTCCGAGCTCGGGTCCTCGGGTCGAACTCCCCAATCTGCAATGATTACAATTAGTCCTCCAACTTTGACAAATCCTCAATTAGAATCAAAATCAAAAGTGGTCCTTGACTTTGCAAAATCCCAAATTTTAAGTCAAACTTTGACTTTCCAATTCCTTTCCGAGATCGTTTGGTCCAACTTAATCTTAGATTAAATCTTTGTCTAATTCTTTCCCGACACTTCTTAATCTTTTAACTTTGAGGATTTACTCACTACCTCCCGTAAACTAACTCTTCTAATTATACTCTAATCGTTCTTCAACGATTTCACTTATACTTGTATCTATTTCGTTCTCAAAAGAATTCACTTACTTGTTCTTAGTACCCTTTACCGAAAATTTCTCAAAAAAAAAAAATTTTTCTAAACAACGTCTTAAATCTCAAAGTTTTAAACAAGTCACAAATTGCACCAAATCTTTCAAGCACACACAACAGAACAAGAACCCAAGCAAGAACATTAACACTTATTCCAATTTAGAGTGTTACCTTTCTCAAGATTGCGCCCCTCAGCTTGCGTTTGTCCCATCACCAAGATTCTCCCCAATCCAGCTCCTCCCGGACGTCCCTGATTAGATCCTCCACGCCCCTGGTTGCCATTTCTGTGTGGCCCACCACCTTACTAATTCCCTCGACCCATTCCTCGATTCGGCGCTGACTCTGGGTTGTATTGTGATGTCATTCCATCTTTAGGTACCAACATATAGCAGCCCTATGCCCTGGCTTCTTGCAATTGAAACATATAACGGGTCTGCCTCCACAAGTAGTCCGAGGGTGAGCCTTACCACACCTCGTGCAAGCCACGCTCCTCACTAGATAACCCTCCAGCTCCAACTCCCTGTCCTATCACCGAATTCCTCATTTCTCCATTTCGGTTGTCATTTCTCGCCACAAGATTGAATCTATGCCCCTTACTTGACTGTGAGTCGTTCTCCTCACTCTTCTTCTTCGGTTCGTACATGGCAATCTAATGTAGTTGCTGAATCCTAGAGTGTCCGACAACTGCGTCACAGGCTTCATTCAAAGTGGCAAACTTTGCAGCAGTAAAGAGCTTCTGGGCATCATAGTGAAGTCCACGGACGAACTTTCGGGTCTTGCTGGCCTCATCCGGTGCTATGGTAGGAGCAAATCGAGACAGTGCCACAAAGCGGGCATGATACTCTTGCACAGACATGCTTCCTTGCTCCAGATGCAAGAATTCCTCGTACTTAGCATCCTTGACATGCTCGGGGTAGAATCTTTCTCTCAAGACAACCTTGAACTTTTCCCAATCAAAGTCCTCTTTCTCCTTAAGGGTCGGACCCTCCATTACCCACCAGTGATCAGCCTCTTCCTGAAGATAGTACACAATTGTCTCTACTAATTGATCTTGCAGAGAGTTGACCACATCAAACAGTTTGTCAAAAGTACGGATCCAGCTCTCTAGGATCTCAGGGTCCTCTTGGCCCAGGTAACTCGGCGGGTTGTGCTCCGTGATCTTTCGTGACACATCTCCGCCAATGTAGCTCCCATTCACTACGTCGGCTCCTATTGTAACACCCCGTGTTACGATCCCTAAAACAAATTAAATCATTTAATTAATCACCTAAGAGAAAAAATTAAATCACAACAATTAATTAGGGAGGCCCACCATAGTCCATGGGCCCTTATCCCTAAACCCAATCCTTAGTCCTAAAAGGAATAGAGTTAGCAGACCTATAGTAATTAGACCCTAAGTAAGACTCTTAGATATATAAATAGGGAACATAAGAAGGCACCTAGAATCCCCACCACAATAATCCCTCACCACACAAGAAGCTCCAAGAATTCCCTAGGAGAAATCAAGAAAGAAGAAAGCTTCAAGAAAGACCCTTCATAGCCAAGGAATTAATTAAGGCTAAGAGGTAACCCATGTCTCAACAAAACCTATTTTCATAGCTATGATTCCCCTCTTAGGATTTCCCCATATTATTGTGTATTGATGATTTGTGATATTATTATTGATGATTGGTGGGATGATTCCATGGGTGATCTTGATGATGAGAGGTTCTTGATAATTATGGTGTCCTTGATGATTATATGACGTTCTTGAAAATTATATGGTGTTCTTGATGTTCTTAATGATTATATGAGGTTCTTGATAGTTATATGATATTCCTACCGAATCTTGATTTTGGAAGATGAATTGTGTTCTTGTTGATTTAAAAATAATTAGAACCCTAGGTTATATCGTGGAATTCGTATGGTATTATTCTTGGTATATTGGGTGGGAATTCGCATGATTGGGTGTTGATTATGTTTAGAAAAGCATGATAGGTTATGTGCCATATGTTTCTTGATTTTTATCCGTTAATTGTCTACGTATGTTATCAATTGCGTTTGAAAGTGTCTAAGCATGGTTTCGGGTTCCACGAAGGTTCCCGGGGTGTTTTTGGTGAAAGAGAGTCAGTGGGGGGTAGGGGACCCGCCACCTACCCGCGGCCTTCTTGGGCAACACCGGCAGCGGGCAGCTGGCGGGCGGGCAGCTGCCCGCCGGGCACCCGCTGCCCGGATTAGCTGCCGCCGGCGGGTGATCCCTCACCCACCGGCTACCCGCTGGTTTGAACCCCAATTTGGGATTTTGGCTCCCCGTTTGATGTTCCCCCGACCCCTGTGGTGTCCCAATGGACTCCGTCTATCGTGCCTATGTCTAGTTTGATATTTCGGGTACCGTTCGTAGGTTGTATGAGTCTTATATATTGCATGCTAGTTGAATTGGTATCTCGTTGACCTAGGTGAAAGAAGTATGAACCCCTTAGGATTATTCTTAGTATGTGAAGGATCACGCATAGGTTTTGTTATACGCTTTCTCCCCCTTCCAAATGTGTTAATATGGGTTGCATGTGCTTGCTATGTGTTATGTGTGCATGATACCCCAATTCGGTTGCGATCGGATTGGTTATTCCTGAGCTGCGGTTCAGAAGCTGGCTGCGGTCAGATTTACACTCCCGGGCTGCGGTCCACCGTTTGGTTGCGATCAAACGTTCCTACATGAGCTGCGGTTCATATTTCCTGGCTGCGGTCAGATGACATACTCTTGGGCTGCTGTCCACTGTTTGGTTGCGATCAAACTATGATGAGCTGCGGTTCATCGGTCGGTTGCGATCGACCCCTCCGTGTTGCGATACGGGGCAGGGTGCTGCGTGGCCGTGTCAGAGCTATATGCGCTGACCCTCATGTATGGGCATGCGATTGGTCCTGTGGCGCCAACAAAGTGTGCTATGTGGTAAGACATGGATGAGTTGTTGTTATGAGTACCTTAGGGATGTGACTATGGGATTTATACTGGGAATCATATATGTTGATTTATAATTGTGCTTATCTTACCTGTCTTGCCTGTTGTAAACTGTATATGTTTGGTATAACTGCTGTCCATGCTTAGCCCTATCTGTTGAGTCGATCCCTGTTTTAAAAGCTAGAGTCTCGTAGGATATATCTTCATGCTTCAAAATGGTTTTTGTATATCTATATATATGTCTATATGTATTGTATTTCGACGCGTTGGAGTTGGTTAC